TGGATAAAAGCATCTGCTAAACGACTAAATGTAAATGTAAATATAATTAGTAAAACTTGAACTAAAATTAAAACGAAAATGAAAAAAATAAAAACTAATTCAAAATATTAATAAAAAATGATAATAGTATATTTTAATGATAATAAAATAACAGTGGGTCACATCGTTTTAACTCTAAACATACATTATAAGGATATGTATTGTTTAGTTTGCAATAGGGTTATGATAGTTAACTAAAACTAAAAATAAAAGCATAAAAATGTTTTTGTTACTTGAAATACAATAAACATTAACTGAAATAAAATAAAATGTAAAAAAGTATTTATAAAGCTTATTTTATTTCAACTGCTTGCCAAGGCAATAATTCTAATTTTTATTTAATTTAACTTAACTAAAACTAAAACCATAAAAAAAAAACATTTAGTTACTTGAAATAAATGTTAACAGAATAAAATAAAATTTTAGTTTCCAAACCAAACATTTTTGAAATTTGAAATGAAAAAATATAATTAAAACTGTATAGACATATTAAAGAAAATCTAATGGTAATAATTTTTTTAAATGAAAACAGAAAACATAAAAACTAATTCAAAATATTAATAAAAATGTCTAGTTTTTATTCATTTTGTGTCATTTTATTTTATTGTTTCAGTTAGTTATTTTAGTACATCAAGTTAAACTAAATAAAAATGAAAAAATGTTGCTTTGACAACAAACTGAAATAAAATAATTTTTTATATATTTTTAATATTGTATGTTATTTCAGTTAACATTTATTTTATTTCAGGTAATGAACTAAAGTTTTAGCTTTAGTTAATGATAATAAACCTGATCCCATGCAATACTATGAACTTCCTCCATCCGTTCCTACTAAACAACAATAAAGCCCTGAATATCATATCTGAGCAGCGAGAGATCCCGTTGTTTTCCGAACCTCCAGGCAAGCCTCAGAGGATGAACGGGAAGGTCAGCGGCAGGATCTACGTCGGTGGTTCTCCGTCTCCTGTGGAGTTTTCCAACAACGACCTGCACTCGTATGTGGTGACTAACGACGGTCGAGCGTATATCGCCATCAGCAGCATCCCATCGAGCGTCGGTCCGTCTCTGCAGCCTCTGCTGGCTCTCGGTGAAGCCATCGGCTGGGCCTTCGCTCTGCAGCAGCCCGACTACCACAACGGCTTCAGCAGCATCGGTGAGACCTGATCCATAACCGCTCAGTCGACTTTAAAGACCTGTTATTCAGCTTCCTCTTTGTCTCTTAAAAACAAAATGAATTACAACTATTAAAAAGTTGTTAAAATGTTAAAGGGGACATGCACTTTTACGACTTGTGTGAACTGAAATGTGTGTGTACACAACCATCCTATAATGATAAAAATACACCCAGTGTTTTTTGTTAATCTACTAAAATCTTTACCTCTTTCTCAAATCAAGCTGATCTCAGATGCATGTCTGTGTGACGTCACAAAACAGGTCCCTCCCACGATAGTTTGATTGACAGTAGTGTTTTACCTTAGCTCCGCCCTGAGTGACTGTCATCAGTCCACCATTGTTTCACCGCCGGAGCAGATGTAGACAAGAATGGCTCCTAAGCGATTGAGGTGTTCTGTTGTTGGATGTAATAATGAACAGCAGTCGTCATTTACTCCCGACATCTGAGCCGCTGAAGACGCAGTGGATTATGTTTGTTTCTGAAGGGCATGCTCCCCCGATCTACCTAAATGCGTCTATGTTTGCGCGAATCATTCATGATCCAGCCTCATCTACAGAAGGAGTATAATTTTTTATAATGTGCTAATTAGCAAGTTTCACGATGAATGCGGCTAAAAGTAAACAGTCTCTCTGAGAGCAGCTCGGAAGAGAGGGGCGGAGTTAGCAGAGCTCATTAACATTTAAAGGAAAATGCTACAAAACGGCTTGATCTGAAAAGAGCTGTTTTTGACAGGGTAAAAAAGGTGTTTTTTACACTACCATTGAGAAATTTTAACCAAACTATGTTACAGACTTTTCATTAAGACTCTAAAGATTCATATCAACTTGTGGAAAATGGGCATCCGATGACCCCTTTAACACTATGATTAGTGTTATTATTGTAATTAATATTGATAATATCATTTTTCAATATCACAACTTATTGTTGTTGTTATTATTGTTTAAATTAAGTTAATAATATTAACTGAAACATTAATTGGATTTCCAACCATGACACAATATCGTCAAAAAATCAGCTACTGCTTTGTTATTAATAATATTCATTATTATTATTATTATTATTATATGAATAATATTAACAATATTATTAACATTAATCATTAATGATTTTTAATAATTAATAATATTTATTATAGCATTGATTTATAATAATAATCATTATTGTTGTTATTATTTTGTTTATAATAACGTTATATTTTGGGTGAAAATAAAGTTAGTGGAACGTTATAAGAAACGTTTTTGCAACCTTTAAATAACGTTATAATCACGACAAGAAGATGACATTTTAACGTTCTTAGAATATTAAAAATAAACGTTCAAATAATGTTATATCTTGGGTAAAAATAAAGTTAGTGGAACGTTGTGAGAAACGTTTCAGCAACCTTTAAACAACGTTATGATCACGACAATAAAACTAGACATGTCGGTGTTTTCGAAACATTTTAAAACAATGTTCCCGCGCTTTTATAAGCTAAATGGATTACCTGGGTCCTGGTCTCGGCAGGAGGGGTTTTCACGCGGCAGGCCGAGGTCGTCTTCCAGCCCGGGAACGAGCGGCTGAGCGTCAGGCAGGAGTTCGGCGGCATCGATGAGCACGATCACCTGCTGATCAGCACTGAACTGGACGGCAGGATCCCAGAGGTGCCTCGAGGAGCCACGGTCCAGATCGAGCCCTACAGCGAGATTTACCAGCACTCCAGCAACCGTGAGACAACCTCTCAGATATATGACACCCGTCAGAAATATCCTCGTTTCAAAGTGTCTCTCTGATACAAACTCTCTCTAAGATAGCTGGAGCGGATCTGCAACTCTGCAGTCAAAGTGCATACATTTCTGTTATTTTTAAGGAATATTGGAACGAATTGAAATTAGATTAACACAAGATTTAAGTTAATTTATAGTAATTGTGAAAAAAAAAGGAAACCAGAATTGTACTAATTTTTTAGTAATTTACACCTAATTAGACGTGCTCTCAATTTTAATTATGCTTTTTATTTATTTTTTTATTTTTTAAGGAAAGGTTTATATAGGTATCAGAGATGTAAATTAGCCTGTACAATATCATTAATATACTATTATAGTTTTTTAATTATTTTGAACTTGTTTTATTGGATCTGCAACTCTGCAGTCAAAGTGCATGCATTTCTGTTATTTTTAAGGAATATTGGAACGAATTGAAATTAGATTAACACAAGATTTAAGTTAATTTATAGTAATTGTGAAAAAAAAGGAAACCAGAATTGTACTAATTTTTTAGTAATTTACACCTAATTAGACGTGCTCTCAATTTTAATTATGCTTTTTATTTATTTTTTTATTTTTTAAGGAAAGGTTTATATAGGTATCAGAGATGTAAATTAGCCTGTACAATATCATTAATATACTATTATAGTTTTAAAATTATTTTGAACTTGTTTTATTTATTTATTTATTTTTCTGTTTCCATTTAATTATATTTATTTGTTTGTTTTTGTAATTTATTGCTAGCTTTGTTTTTTTTATGTTTATATATTTTTTTATAAATTTTTATTTCAGTTTTAGTTTTATTTATTTTTGTACATCAAGTTAAACTTAGAAAATTATAAATTTTATATATTTTATTTTATTTCAGTTAAAACCTATTTTATTATGGATTTTATTATTATTATTATGGTTAAAGTTATAGTTATAGTTTAGGAAAAGTTTACGTAGGTATCAGAGATCATTAATATCCTATTATAGTTTTTACAATTATTTTTAATTTGTTTTATTTTTATATTTTCTGTTTTCATTTAATTTAATTTATTTATTTATTTGTTTTTTGTTTGTTTTTGTCATTTTTGCTAGCTTTGTTTTTTTTAATGTTTATATAGTTTTATAAATTTTTATTTCAGTTCTGTTTATATTTTATATATTTTATTTCATTTCAGTTCAAACTTATTTTATTATGGATTTTATTATTATTATGGTTAAAGTTTTAGTTTTAGTTCACTATAATTAACCTGTGTACAGTGCATTGTTTTTACTTAATTTTGTGCTGAAATCATGCTTTTTATACTGTCACTATACATATAAATAGTCAAAAATTTATATGTATGTGGTAAAGCTAATGTAAAACTAACATACACCAATTAAATGTTGTAATTCAGGTGTTCTACGTCTAACGTAAAGCTAATAACTCACTCTTTTTTTGATATTTTTCAATGTAAACATGCGCTTGATGAAGATCTTTGAACGTTGCATCTTGTGCATCATCTCGTGCATGACATGGCACACTTAAAAGTCACATTTTAAACATAAATGCATCTCAAATTTAAAAAATTCTCTTTTTTCCATTCTACTGCGCTGCTTTTCTGTTTTATTTTTTTTCTACGTAAACATGCACTTGTCGGACGTCTTTGACCGTTGCCCTCGCGTCTTTTGCATCATGCATGACGCTGCTTCTAAAAACATTTAAAATTTAAATTTAAAAAAATGCATTTCAAATTTTTTAAAATGCATTTTTTGTCTCATTCGATTGCCTGGCATCTCTCATTTTTAAAAATGCAATATTGCGTTCTGTGTTAACAGCCCCTTCGGCACCATGCATTTATCTTACTAACAACAGAAACTGAGGCCAAGCAGCTTTCTATGTTCTCCTAAAAAACCCTTTTAATCTAAAGATGAAACATATGAACACATGAGCTTGTGCGGTTTAATGGCACCCTCTCTATTTCAGTCTTCGCTCTTCTCTGTGATGTTCTCAGTGATTACGTCCTCCTCGCAGCGGGACTATATCGTTAGCATGCCCGACGGTAGCGTTCGCACACACAGCTTCTTGTGGACGCAGAGCATCAAGTTCCAGAGCTGCCCGCACGAGGAGGTCCTGAGCGCTGTGCCGGCGAGCCAACAGCTCAGCGTCGACCAGATCTTCGTCATGTACGACTCCAGCAACCAGCTGATCCGCTTCGCCATGAGCAACAAGATCGGCTCCATCCACAGTAAGGAATCTAGAACTAGCAAATGAAACACACGACAGAGCGACTAAACACTGGGTTCTGTCACATATGTGTTGGGTAATGACTCATACACTACTGTTTCAAAGTTTGGAGTCGGTAAGATTTCCTAATGCTTTTACAATAAGTCTCTTCTGCTCACCAGGGCTGCATTTATTTGATCAAAACGTACAGTAAAAATAGTGAAATATTTTTACAATTTAAAACAGCTGTTTTCTATGTGAATATGTGTTAAACTGTAATGTATGTCTGTGATGCGCAGCTGAATTTTCAGCATCATTACTCCAGTCTTCAGTGTCACATGATCTTCAGAAATCACTATAATATGCTGATTATTATCAGTGCTGGAAACTGTGATGCATTTTTGTTTTTCAGGATTCACAGATGAAGTTCAAAAGTACAGCATTTATTCAAAATAGAAATCTTATCTAACAATATAAGTCTTTATTATCACGTTTTATCAATTTAACACATCCTTGATGAATAAAAGTATAATTTCTTTCTAAAATAGAAAGAAAAAAAATCAGCTTACCCCAAACTTTTGAACTGTAGTGTATTTTGTTACAAAATATTTATATTTTGAATAAATGCTGTTCTTTTTTAAAAACGTTTTATTCATTATTCATCAAAGAATCTTGAAAAAAGTAGCACAGCTTCCAAAAAAAATTTTTTTATATTCCAAAATTGATAATAAATCAGCATATTAGAATGAAGACTGGAGTAATGATGCTGAAAATACAGCTTTGATCACAGAAATAAATTACAGTTTAACAGATATTCACATAGAAAACAGTATTTTTAAATTGTAATAATATTTCACAATTTTTACTGTATTTTTAAATCAAATAAATGCAGCTTTGATGAGCAGAAGAAAAGTTTTTATAAAATATGAAAATTCTTACTGACCCCAAATTTTGAACGGCAATGTATATATAAATGTTTTACTTCTTGTAGTTGAGATTTGTTATGTATTGCTTTACAGTGTACTGTAAGTTGAATATATTGTAGGTTATAATGAATCATTTCTTACGTGGTGATATTGAGGAGGTTTTGTTGAGGTTATGGTAATTTGTTGTAATAGTGATTTGTATCTCTGCTGTGGGTAAATGATGCATGGAAATGACAGGGTTAAAAAAGGAGCTCGTATTTTTATGGATTCTTTTATTGGTCTGTTTTATTGGCTTAATGAAAGAGGTAGAGTATTTTATCTTTCAGAATAGAGTGAAAGAGGATGCTTCGACTCTGCTTTTGATGTGATTTCATATTTAATTAACCCCTTAAGTGCCACCAATGGGGCTCCTTTTGTTGTTGTCTTTTTTCTCTATCACATAGTTTAGAAATCATAAATGTATATCATTTGAAAGCTTAAAACCTCAGAATTCATCCTGTGAAAACCATTTTTAAATCGGACATTGCTTTACCATGGAAATGGCACTTTAAAATATTTTAGTCTCCTCCCCTTAGTGGGTGGAGTCAAGTGTCATGTTACAAAATGTATTACGGTCTTTTAGAATCACATTTTTTTATGATCTTGAACAAAATACATATATTTGGAAAGGTCCGAGTCTCAAGATTCCATATTTGGTGGTTATTTTTTTGCTAGAAGTAATATTGACAGAGAATTTTAGACCTTCGTGACAAAAAAATGCATCTGGATGGCACCCGGTGGCTGTTTTTGGTATAACGCCTTAAATACATTTTTTTTAATATCAACTTCAAATTTGGAACATAACTTATTTAGACACAAGGCTGTAATTTTATATCAATTTTGGATTTAAAAATATTTTGTAAAATATTTACTTTATATAAAATAAAAAAAATTTCTACAATGCATTTTCTTTACAGTAAATTTAAACTTCTATAACTTTTTGATACTTTAATATTTTGAAATGATAGTAATCTGCAGATTGTCTTCTTAAAAAGAGTCCAACCGTAGGGCTGTATTCCAAAGTTTGCATGAATTATAATAATTTAAGTTTGGATAGTGCACTTTCACGTCTACTGTATGTTCAAAAATGGGGGGTGGCACTTAAGGGGTTAAATGCTTTATAGTTTGAATGGCTTCAGGTTTTGTTTATTGGTGTTTTTCAGGTGGAATCCCGGAGCAGAATCCCTGTTTCACCGGGAGACACGGCTGCGACACTAATGCCGTCTGTCGTGCCGCTCAAGGCAAAGACTTCACCTGCGAATGCGCCGCTGGGTTCACCGGAGACGGACGGGTTTGTTACGGTAGCGATCCTCTGGTTTATATCTTGGGTCAGTGTTTGTGTTCAGACGTCTGCGTTGAGTTACTGAAGAGCTCGTTCATCTCAGCGCCGATAAATCTAGCTGTTCTCTGCTTGTAGACATCATATGTGAGCACAAAACCAATATGTGAGATTTATACAACATCTGAAAGCTGAATGAATAAGCTTTCCATTGATGTATGGTTTGGCGTTTGACGATTATTTGAACTATTTGAAAATCTGGAATCTGAGGGTGCAAAAGAAAAATCTAAATATTGAGAAAATCATCTTTAAAGTTGTTCAAATGAAGTTCTTAGCAATGCATATTACTAATCAAACATTAAGTTTTGATATATTTACGGTAGGAGATTTACTAAATATCTTCATGGAACATGATCTTTACTTAATATCCTAATGATTTTTGGCATAAAAGAGAAATGTATAATTGTGACTCATACAATGTATTGTTGGCTATTGCTACAAATATCCCCCAGCGACTTAACACTGCTTTTGTGCTCCAGGCTCACTGTATTATAATTTAATTTGACTTCAAAGCTCCTCCTGGTTCACAGACGGCTCGATGATCCAGTGCAAACACTGACTGTACTGTATATACAGTGTTTAATTCATGGGATGTTTCCTCTCTTTGGGATTTAGTGCAAAGAAAACACGTTTAGCCTCCAGGACTTTCTGCATGATTTTGTCCACAATTTGTCCCCCTTTTTGAGAAGATCTGGGTCTCGTTATTTTTATGAACTGCACTTACATATTTCAGAGCATATACACAGAAATTAATTATTGCTGCTCTTTCTAACAAGCACTTCATCTCAAAAACCCTGAGTGATCTAAAATAAATAGAGTTTAAAGTCGATATGAAATTAACATTCACTTTATTAATTTGTAAATCACAAAAAAAAAACTGTCCAGAACTTGTTAGGGTTATATTTCACCCTAAAATAAAACAAATCATTCAAAATCTCATTCAACTAATATATATTATATAATATATAGTATGTTATTATTAAATATATTATTAAAATATAATATATACTGTATGTTTATATTGTTTTTCATGTATTTTTAATATATATTAATTTTATATTTTTCATTATTTATTATATGTATGTAAATATATAACAAATGTAAAAATTGTATATATGTTTAACTTGTTAATATATTTTATTATATATATATATATATATACATATAACACTGTAATATATATGTATACAATAAAAAAATATATATATTATTTTTAGCTGTTTTATATATATATAGTTTTTATAAATTTATTTATTAGTTTAATTTTTATATTTTCTGTTTTCTCTTTAATTTCAGTTAAAGATTTAGTATTTTTATAGTGCTTTTTTTTGGTAATTTTTATATATTTTTAAAAAATATGTCTATATAATTTTTATTTATTAGTTTTTATTTTTATATTTTCACTAGTTTTAGTGATTTTGTTTTGTTTTTGTCTTTTTTTTTATAAATATGTCTATAGTTTTTATTCATTTTTATTTATTAAATTTTTTTTTTATATATTTTTTTATATTTTAATGTGTTTTCACTTTATTCTCAGTTAAAGATTTAGTATTTTTGTAGTGTTTTTTGTTATTTTTATGATTTTTAAAATATGTCTATATAGTTTATATAGTCTATATATTCATACATTTTTATTTTAATATTTTCCTTTTTCACTTGAATTTTAATTAAAGTTTTAGTAATTTTGTTGTGTGTTTTTGTCATTTTTATTCATTTTTGTTTTTAAATGTCTATATAATTTTTATTAAATTCAATTTATTCATTTTTATTTTTATATTTTAACTTTAGTTTTAGTTATAGTGATTTTGTTGTGTTTTTGTCATTCTTCTTCTTATTTTTTTTTTTTTAAATATGTCTATATAGTTTTTATACATTTATTTATTAGTTTTTATTTCTATATTTTCTGTTTTCACTTTAATTTCAGTTAAAGATTTAGTATTTTTGTAGTGCTTTTTTGTCATTTTTATGATTTTTAAATAATATGTCTATATAGTTTATATAGTCTATATAATTATAAATTTTTATTTATTAGTTTTTATTTTTATATTTGCTTTTTTCTCTTTAATTTTAGTTAAAGTTTTAGTAATTTTGTTGTGTGTTTTTGTCCATTTTTATTAGTTTTTTTTTTTTTTTTTTTTACTCACCTTTCAAAAACCTTGTTGTTTAGGATTAAATTTAAAATAAGAAATATGTTGATTTTGATTTGTTTGAGATGATTTCAAATCAATCACGCATGATCCTTATTCTGGTTCAGATGAAGCCATATTTGAAGACAGTCGTCAACTCACCTCACATTTATTTCTACAGCGCTTTCTACAATACAGACTGAAAGCACAGCAGTGTGAGACGCTCCAGCTGTAAGGAAGGGCTGGTGTGTTGCACACATGTATGTTTGTGTGAGCGATTCGCTGCAGGGTGGTCATACTTCATTAATAACACGCAACAGATGTGCATTCCTTCATATAGAGCTGATTCTGAAGAGTCGAGGCTGGCTGAGCCGATAAAGCTGTGCACATAGAGCTGTTTGCATGGGATTTTCTCTCTCTCTCTCTCTGTGGCATGCAGATATCGATGAGTGCCAGCCGGGCCGTTGCCATAGCGATGCCATCTGCCACAACACCCAGGGCTCCTTCACCTGTCAGTGCCGGCCTGGTTTCCACGGCGACGGCTTCAGCTGCACACCTGGATCCGGTAGGTGTTAGTGCTGTATGCGTGACGCTCTGAAGTCAGCATGAAATTACTTTTTTAACTTCTGTGAGTCTTATATGAAAACTAGGGTTGTTATGATGTTACGTAGCAGTCAAGCCATAAAAAAACCCTTTTTCATTACTTCAAATTAAATTAAATTAAATAAAATATAGTAAAAACTTCAGCTTATTTTATTTCAGCAAATTAAATTAATTGCTAAAACAAAATAAACTAAAACGATATATACATATTTAAGAAAAAAATAAGGAAAACACAACGCAAAATTACTAAAACTAATCAAAATTAAAATAAAAACACAAAATATAAAAATAAAAATCCAATTAAAAATAGGCATATACCTGTATATATATATTTAAAATGAATTATTATAATTAATTAAAATAAATAAAAAAATCATAAAATAATAAACAATAAATAAATTATATAATAATATTTTAATTATTATATATATAATGTATAATTAATATATTATTATTATTACTATTAATATAATAATAATAAATAAATAATAAATGATTTTTTTAAAAATATGAATTTAAATCAATTTATACTAATACATAATACAAATTAATAAAAAATTAATCATTCACAGTAAGACTAAAAACATAAGATAAGATAATAAATAGAGGCCTTTTGAAGTTTGTTTATAGTTTTTTTTTCAGGGCCTTTTATGAATTTTTAACACTGTAATACTGCCTTAAAAATAAAATAATTATCTTGAAATCGTTGAACATTATATTAACTATTAAAAATATAATTTTACTCACAAAAAATAAACAAATCTATATTTTTACTCATAAACTAAAACCTAAAACTTAATATAGACATATTAAATGGCAAAAACACAACAAATGACTAAAACTTTAACTAAAATTAACTAAAACTAAACTAAAATATATATATAAAAATCTCGGTAACACTTTAAGATGTCCTTGTTACACATGTTACATGTACTTACTATTATAATAACAATTATTTATGCATAATTACATGCTAGTGACCCAAAACCGAACCATATAGTAAGTAGATGTAGTTAATTAATATTACTCAGTAATTAAATGTATAATTACACTGTAACAAGGACACCTTAAAATAAAGTGTAACCAAAACCTCATTCAAAATATTAATAGTATCTCAATGCTACAAAAATAACTGATGAAAATAAGCACATTTTATCAGAATAACATGCACTGATGAAAGTGCACCAGATACAATGATTTGTTTTGTTTAAAAGAAATATTACAAATGATAACATAATGAAAAAATGTATAATAATAAATATTTTTTTTTGTAGAAATAAATGGATCATTCACAATAAAACCAGACACATATATTTAGATAGTAAAAGAAGTCCATCTGGATTTCATGTTGACTTTAAAGGGGTCCTATTATGCTCTTTTACAAAGTCTTGATTTAGTTTTGGGGGTGCACCAGAACAGGCTCTCATACTAGCTTGTTCGAAAAACACATTATTTTTCACATATTGGTCAGCTGGAGCAGTGTGTGCTGTGATTGGTCGGCTGGGCCAGTGTGTGCTGTGATTGGTCGGCTGGGCCAGTGTGTGCTGTGATTGGTCGGCTGGGCCAGTGTGTGCTGTGATTGGTCGGCTGGGCCAGTGTGTGCTGTGATTGGTCGGCTGGGCCAGTGTGTGCTGTGATTGGTATGCAAAATATATAAGTTCTAATGTCATGACTGTTGTGTGGTTGACTGGAGGACGGTCACATAGATCATCTATAGCAGATGCCACTACAGTGTCAGATCCACTACCAAAGGGCCCCGGGCCCAAAAACCAGACACAGAAACCGCCGGCTCTCAGACAGAATAGAGAGCGTCTGATCGAGAGTGTGTGTGTGTGTGTGTGTGTGTGTGTGTGTGTGTCTGTG